TACGGGAGTGATTCACGCAATGGTGCGAATAGTCACGGCCTTTGAAAAATTTCGGAGGAATAATTGAAAAATTTTATCAAAAATTGAATACCATTCCATGAAACATGAATAAACGAATCATAATTGTCCAAATAATTTAGGTCAGTCGAAAATAGAATAATTCTACTTTCTTAATATTTNCGGCCTTTGAAAAATTTCGGAGGAATAATTGAAAAATTTTATCAAAAATTGAATACCATTCCATGAAACATGAATAAACGAATCATAATTGTCCAAATAATTTAGGTCAGTCGAAAATAGAATAATTCTACTTTCTTAATATTTCGTTTATTAAGGTTTTCTTCGAACAAAGTTGATTAGAATTAATAGCTAGAATTATGAGATTATCTCACATTTTTTATGTTAAGGATAGGAGAATCTCAATGCAATATAGTGAATAATATATATATGCAATATATGCAATATAATAAAATAATATTAATACCCAAATACAAAATTTCGGATATTAATAAAAAAAAGCTGTGACTCAATATTCCAAATGAAGTTTTAATTTTTAATTTGGTGCTGAAAAAACGAGATGACAATATTCTAAGCACGGAATTATATTGATGAGATGAACAACAGATTAATTGAATCACCGTATGAATTAACTAAAAATTGATAACAGTGTAGGCACGCAATTTTCCCAGAGTATCAACACACGTTGAATTCCAGAGATTCACACTCTAAAGTGTGTTCTAGAAGGAATTGAATTGTAATTATGATTAAAATCTTATTCAGTGAGCATAGGAATTAGAACATGAGCAAATTATTCATTGTAATATGAAAATTTAACATATGATAAATTGGAACACATGACTCTCATCGGTCTTATTGCTTTTTGCAATAAGAATGATTATAAACATTAATTGAAACAAGGAATATCGAATCTGACAGGGAAAAGGACAAAATAATAATAATATACCTTGAGTAGTTCCAAACTGTTTGGCTTGGGCGCACCTCCCGACACCACCGTTGAATCTGCGGAAGGGAACGCATTCCTTGTGCTCAATTACGTTCTTCAAGAACTTCTGGGCTCTCCTCAGTGCCATGCTCTTGATAGCACGGGCGGCCTCATGAGTGTTCTAGCAAAAAGACAAATATTCGATAAATTTTTTATTTGATATTAGAAAATAAATTAATTCCTCATTTGATTATGTATGCCTATATCGTAGTGAACACATTGACATCAATTTTAAGTACTAAATAGTTTAGGAGAGAGTGAGATAAACCAATGATCTCGAAAAGACAGTGCAATTTCCTCTTTGTTTTCATTTTCAATTTATTTTTCCAAGTTTCAAAACGAAATTTTACTTCTCGTACGACACAAATTTTACAGGGAAATCTATAAAATTCATTAGAAATTCTAGTGGATTACTACTAAACTGTCTAGTAGTTTTTGGCCAATTTTATGAAAAAATTGTCCAACTTATCTGTACGTTTTTCAAGTAGAAACGTTTAGTGGAAATTGATGTGTGAAAAAATCTGTAGAATCCAAATATTCTCTACAACCTATTCTATTGGGATACTTTCTAAACAAATCCCTCGGTTCTAATTTTCCCGTTTTTTTAATTGGTTTTCCAAATGAAAAGAAGAGAAAAATTAAGTGTAAAAAACTGAAAATTCATAAAATGTTTCATAAAAAAATACGATTCTACTAATTCTTTCTATTAAAATAGTATCAATTGGGCATTCTCTATAAAAAAAATGCGCAGTGAAGTTGTAGAATTTTTCTATAAAAATGGCCAAATTTGACAGAACTTTCAATAAAGGTCAATCCAATCTTATTTCGATCCAACAGTTTTCACCTAAAAAAATTCATAGAAAAACCTGTCGACTTCATTGAAAAATTTTATGAGATTTCTATCGAAATCCGTAAATTATCTAATAGAAATGATTTTTTTTTATCGAATTCGCTATGTCATTCTATGAAATCTTCTCGTGAATGTCATCTAAAATGTATAATTTAGTTAGGAGATATTGAAAATTGAAAACGGCTCACGATTTAATGCATTATATTATAGGTTATCTCAATCGACGATTTTGTTTACCTTGAAGTGAACACGCAGGTTTGACCCGCGAGCCTTGCACGATTTGGTGGCATTTGTTGGTTCGTGAGAGTACCGACCCATTGCGTCCTAAACAACAAAATACAAACGAATTAATTAAAGAAACCACTGCACTAATGACACAAACATAACACACGAGGGTAACCCAGAGTCCCACTGTCGTGGCCCTCTGACACGCGATATTTCCCACATTTTCTCGTCATAACATCGAACTATTGGCACAGAGGTAATCAACAGAATATCCTCTTTCATTATGACGTTCAATTATCGATAGATTAATTATCAATCTCAGGATGCAAGTGGATTTTTACTGTTGATCGTCGTGAAACGTACCTCGTCGCAATACGATGGTAGAGGAAAAGACTTCAAATACTTCACCGGAGCTCCACTTCCTGTTCGGGGGGCGCCACGGTGCGGACAAGTTCGTCAATGCAATATCAGAAACGGAAAGTCACTAGGAAAACTAAATTTCAAATCGTAGAGGCGGGTGGGTAAAATGATTTTTTTTTCACTTGACTTCTTTTAAAAATAGTTTATAAAGAAATTAAATTTTGAAAATGAATATTGGAAATAAATTCCAAACGGAAGTTGATATGAATAAAAATATTCTGACAGAATTTGTGCTCAATTGTCAGTCTAGAATGATTAATAATAATTAATTCAGAAGTAACAAAATGACACGGCCTTATCAGGAAATTAATTTTTAGAGATTAGAGGGAAGATTGAAAAGTAGAAAAAATCATGAACAATTAGAAAAAATAAATAAATAAAAATTTATGCCTAATACGAAAATTATCGTCACTATCAAACTTTTTTTACTAAATAATTTGTTTTTTAGTTCAATGAGTTCTGAATTTCTTTTTCTTGGAATTGGAAGCTCACGTTTTCTGTAAATAAATTTTATTGTTCTTCATTTCGAGGATGTTTCCACATTTATTTTGCATCTTGCATTAATTTTTCTCGTACTAGTGACTCAATTAATTAAAACAATGCTCTTTCTCTATTTATTTTTCTATTCACTCAACCTCCACTTCGAATCTGAACTTTTTGAATTTTCCCACTGTTGTTTGGTTTGCAAAAACAACCAATTACGTCAGTCCTCCAATGACAGCCACCCACTCTGCCCCCACATTTTTCCCTCCAAAAAAGGGTTTCCGGTTTTTTTTCATAAAAATGTTTCGATGATTAACTATCGGTTTTTATTCGTTCATTTTGTTGACCAGGAATTTATTTTATTATTTCGTGAATTGTCTGATGAGATTTTGCGACATTTCACTTCATTTTTCAACGATTTCGCAGTTTGCAATGAACGGAAGTGGATAACCCTCCAATCACAGCCGTCCCCCTCAACACTCGGCCGCCAATTTTTCCCCCCTGTCGTCATTCGGCTGCTGGCTTCGACCGCGAATGGATCTCTGTCGACGTTCCGACGATTTTGACGCACCCGGGGGACGTAATAGCCCAGGGTGATTGTCAACAGCGGAGTTAGAGCTGCCGGGAGTTCGAAACAAGTGAGTTTAATGAAAAAAACATAATTTCTTCGTGGGTTTGGGGATTTTTTCCTCAGGACTTTCGGGTTTTCCTCGGATTTTGTCGTGTCTAAGCAGTGTTTTTGCTCAATCGTTATTTTTAATGATATGTTGATGACTCAAAAGAATGTTTTTCAAAAGATTCACAACTTTTTTCCTTCAACTTTCAGAGCTGATGATTTTTTCCCCTCGACCGCCCTTTTTTCCCTCCAAATTTTTTTATGAAGCTAATTATCTTGTGAGATTTTTGGTTTTTTATTTCGGGATTTTTAGAATTTTTGTTATTTTGATTCCTGGCATGAAAATAATTATTTTGTGAGATATTTGTTTATTTTCGGGATTTTTATCGACAGATTTTTTGACTTAATGAGTTTTTTGGAGATTCGTGAATTTTTTTATTTAAAACTCTCCAAATGAAACTGAATTTTTTCAAATTCACTCAACGTCAACCGTCAAGACAACGAACGACTGATCCTCCAATCGCGGCCAGCCATCGCTCCTCCCATCGCTCCACCCCTCGCGCGCCAATATTTTCCCCCCAACAGTCATTCCTTTGTTTGTTCCAGCGGGTTCGGGCTCGTGCAGGGAGATTCGCTGGCGATGGCTCTTTCGAGAGATTTCCAACCCCAGGGTGTTGATATACAGCCGTGTTACAGGTGCCTCGATTCTCCAACAAGTGAGTTTTATACTGTAATTATGATTTTGTGGGATTTGGAGTGATTTTTCCTGTTTTTTTCGCGTTCTTTCGTCGTACCACGCCGGGCACCGGGCCTTGTCATCATTTTTCATGAGTGTTTCAATTATTATAATTACTGAAACGCGATAATTTTCATCTCAATTGAAGCGAAAATATTTATTTGTGAATACGAACTTTTTTTTATTCGTGAAAGTATTGAAATTCAGTCGTCATTGGGAAGTTTCGAACGTCTGATGGCGACCCCCGTTCCTCTCTTCCTCGCCATTTTTTCCCTCAAATTCTCGAAAAAATAGTCACTACTGTCTATGATTTTTCAATTTTTTAATTTTTATTAAATAGTTGAAGATGAAAACAAATTGAAATAGTTTATTGAACAGTTGTTTTAATTGATCAGTCATTCGAAAGTTCTCGCGCCGAAATGGATCTCCCCTTCTTTTATTTTTTCCCTTTGTTAACGGTTGTCAAGTTGACGATCACTGTAGTCCCCCCTCCCCTTCGCGCATGCGTATTACCTCGCGCTAGTGTTTTGTCTCTTCAAAATATATTTCGGTGTCGACGCCGGTGAGTTCGGACTTGCGAAGTGTAGAGGGGGAGCAGAGCCCGAGTTTGTTTGTAAACACGGGGCATTACAGTATCTCGAGTCTACAAGAGGCGAGTTTTATCTGAAAATTATATGGTGCATACATTTTTTTTATTTTACGGGGTTCAAAATTCTTTCCTTGTGGTTTTTTTGTTTGTGAATACGATCTTTTTTTCATTCGTGAAAGTATTGAAATTCAGTTGTCATTGGGAAGTTTCAAACGTCTGATGGCGACCCCCGTTCCTCTCTCCTTCGCCATTTTTTCCCTCGAAATATTCTTCCCTCAAATTCTCAAAAAAATAGTCACTACTGTCTTTGATTTTTCAATTTTTTAATTTTTATTAAATAGTTAAAGATGAAAACAAATTGAAATAGTTTATTGAATAGTTGTTTTGATTGATCAGTCATTCGAAAGTTCTCGCGCCGAAATGGATCTCCCCTTCTTTTATTTTTTCCCTTTGTTAACGGTTGTCCAGTTGACGATCACTGTAGTCCCCCCTCCCCTTCGCGCCGGCGTATTACCTCGCGCTAGTGTTTTGTCTCTTCAAAATATATTTCGGTGTCGACGGCGGTGTGTTCGGACGTGTGAAGTGTAGAGGGGGAGCAGAGCCCGAGTTTGTTTGTAAACACGGGGCATTACAGTGTCTCGAGTCTACAAGAGGCGAGTTTTATCTGAAAATTATATGGTGCATACATTTTTTTTATTTTACGGGGTTCAAAATTCTTTCCTTGTGGTTTTTTTGTTTGTGAATACGATCTTTTTTTCATTCGTGAAAGTATTGAAATTCAGTTGTCATTGGGAAGTTTCAAACGTCTGATGGCGACCCCCGTTCCTCTCTCCTTCGCCATTTTTTCCCTCGAAATATTCTTCCCTCAAATTCTCAAAAAAATAGTCACTACTGTCTTTGATTTTTCAATTTTTTAATTTTTATTAAATAGTTAAAGATGAAAACAAATTGAAATAGTTTATTGAATAGTTGTTTTGATTGATCAGTCATTCGAAAGTTCTCGCGCCGAAATGGATCTCCCCTTCTTTTATTTTTTCCCTTTGTTAACGGTTGTCCAGTTGACGATCACTGTAGTCCCCCCTCCCCTTCGCGCCGGCGTATTACCTCGCGCTAGTGTTTTGTCTCTTCAAAATATATTTCGGTGTCGACGGCGGTGAGGTTCGGTCGTGTGAAGTGTAGAGGGGGAGCAGAGCCCGAGTTTGTTTGTAAACACGGGGCATTACAGTATCTCGAGTCTACAAGAGGCGAGTTTTATCTGAAAATTATATGGTGCATACATTTTTTTTATTTTACGGGGTTCAAAATTCTTTCCTTGTGGTTTTTTTGTTTGTGAATACGATCTTTTTTTCATTCGTGAAAGTATTGAAATTCAGTTGTCATTGGGAAGTTTCAAACGTCTGATGGCGACCCCCGTTCCTCTCTCCCTCGCCATTTTTTCCCTCGAAAAATTCTTCCCTCAAATTCTCGAAAAAATAGTCACTACTGTCTATGATTTTTCAATTTTTTAATTTTTATTAAATAGTTAAAGATAAAAACAAATTGAAATAGTTTATTGAATAGTTGTTTTAATTGATCAGTCATTCGAACGTTCTCGCGCCGAAATGGATGTCCCCTTGTTCTATACATACTCCTAGACCCCATTGTCCTCCTGGATAATGTTGTCACAAATCTGCTTTTCAATTGAAAATAGACATCATCTTTAGAGACATTTGTCATATTTAGAGCCCCAGCACGCCATTTCTCGACCCGCTCTTTCATTTGAGCCCAAAAAACATTCATATCTTGTCTGACATCTCTGCTACAAACTCTGGTCTTCAACTCTAGTTTCAGTTGAAAATTACATGTCTAGTTTATTGTCTAGATTTAATTTGAGAAGTAAAAGTTGAGGGTCCACGATCTCCCATATATCCACGGTAGAAATTACCATGAATTCACGGGAAAACGTCCCGTATATCCACTGTCAAAGTTACCGTGGAGCGTGTCAATAGACTCTGGCTTTTTTTTATCCCATGGGCTTGTGTAACAGACTAATTTATGCTAGAATTTTCTGTCTGTGCAGGCTACACGTGGGAGCAGTGCGCGTTGGAGATTCATCAGAAGAGCCAGAGACCCCGGGTCGTTTATCAACAGTCGACGGTTCGATTGCTGGATTCTACGAAGAGTGAGTGATAGAAATCCTTATTTTGGTGGTGGAATCGTTTTTATTTTCCGGGATTTTCAGGTTTTCGCGTCGCACTCCGATCTCGTCGCGTCCCCACCCAGATTTCCAATTTTTCAAAATTTTCATCTAGTAAATTTCATTTTTTTATCACCTTTTTTTCATTTTTCTCCCCCAAAAAATGAGCTTTTTTCGGGAGCGAGCGCATATTTTCAATTTATTTAATAATTTTGTAGAATAAATTTCATCATTTTTCTTTGTTTGAATGCCTCGTTCAAATAACCAACAGCCATGTGCGCAATAATCTGCGCAGTAACCCCCCCTCCCCCTCCCCCCACCGACAGTCGTCGCGATTTTCCCGCGTTTCTCCCTTCACGATTTAGCTCGAGTGGCCGAGGCTGCCATCTTGCTTTGTCATTCCGTCTTCCCGCCAAGATCATTCGCCTCGTCCGTGGAATAAAGGTGTTTTTTCAGTTAATTTGTCAGTATCAGTGAGTGAAATTAATGAATAATTTTGATAAACAGTGCTAGAGTGTCTGAGGAGTCAATTTACGTACGAAAATTGATTCGAATCAGTGAAAATTGGAGTGTTCATGGTGCGGTATGTACGACAGTGTGCCCGTGTTATTCATTGCAAACCCTTGCGTAAGTCATTGTTCGATTAATTCTTTTTAATTTCCGATAATTCGAGTCTCACCGATCAAAATTATTCGATACAATTTTTTTTTGCAAGTGGAAAAGTGTTGAGATATTGGCATTAACGACAAACTGTGGTCACTCTACGTATGCCCATTCTCTTTTCTAATAGAAAGCAATTTTGATATTAATTGTTGATTAAAATTACCATTGACTTTCGCGAAAAAAACAAGTTTGCATCATCCGTGAAAAACTGAAAGTTGAACATGGGAATTTTGTTTATTGAGTATTTATGGAAAGATCGTGTGTTGGGGATTTGGTGAAGGATTTACTCGTTCGTAACTCAGGTGGAGTGGGTGGTAATTTTTAAATGAATATCAATTGTGGATACCTCAACCATTCAGATCAAGGATATTCAAGTACTCCGGATATTTTTTTTTCAGGGAAATGCTTTTCTACTTTTGTATTGAAGCATCAGAGCTTTCATTTGATCCCCATTTGACCCTAATTTTCTGGATATTTTACACTGATTTTATTTAAACTTGATATTGAACAGTCAGAAAAAATTTTAAAAGCTGAAAAAAAATCGGAAAGTTTTCTTTTGGAGAAAGATGGGAAAAATAATTGTAAAAAGTGCTATTTTTTAAAATTACAAGCATTTTTTATAAATACTTCATAAAACCTCAATCTTTCAGGATAAAAATCATCTGTTCGGAACCGTAACAAATTTATTAATATTCAGAATTTTATCACAAATCGATTTTAGGCCTAAAAAATAAAATTTCCGAATATTTAAACAATTTCAATTATTTATTTATAAACAACGAATATTTAAAAAAATTGCAATTGCGTGCAAACTGCAATTTAAATGAGACTAAATATTCATGATTTTAAAAAAAAATTTCTCACGCAATTCAATTGACAATTTTGATGATTAAAAATTCAATCTGTAGTGCGGTCTGTATGGTAATTGTTGCTATTAACGTAGTAATTTCATTCCTAATGCGTTCTTTTTTTGTTAATTCTCATTTCACTATTCTTTTCTTCTATTTTTTCATGTCATAGTACTATCATCAATTCAAATGTCATCAAAATTTTGGGTATTGTTTCGTTCTGTTAAGGGAATACGCCGGTGAAATCTAAGTCTTCACTGGGCCTTGGGGACCCATTGATAACCACGAAAAACTTCATTTTTTCCTGTTTTTACCTGCAGAATGCTCCTTGCGCCGGAGCTTTCATACGATTTTAGCTTTTTTTTTAAACGTTCGATACTCTCTCAAGAATAAAGTTAAGCATCTGTTTTACGTTATTCGAAATAGATGATGAATAAATGAATTTTGAATTTAATAATTTTTTTCCGTTCCTAGAATAGAGTAAAATTTATGAGATTCAAAATTTAAATAGAAGAGGATTCCTAGACTTACTTGAATTTTTAATTAAAACATCTATTAATTGGAAACTGAATTTTCCCGATTTCTATAAATTCTAATGCAATAATTGAACTGAAAGTCACAATTCCCATTAATTTTTTCCTTCAACTTTGAATTTTTTACGACGAAATTCGTTGAAATTTCCGCGAAACATAAATGTGATAAATATTTCCACGAATTGTACTGGAAATTTCGCGCTATTTCGGAGGGGACGTCTACGGTGTAGGGAATTCGCTAGTCGGTCGTTTACCCACTATGACGTCTGAAGTTCGGTGGAGTTGATGACTAGTCCCAACTCTCATTATTCAGTATTTCCTCAGCTGCTCCAGCGCTCGGAAATATTGTATATTTTTTACTCATTTATGTCAAAGTACGTTCCATATTCCTCATTCATCTACGCAAAGTAATTTAGCGAAGCGACATTATTGTTTATGATTGTTTAAGAAATTAAAAGTGTTGAATGTATATTTTGGAGCTGTTTTTCTACGATTTAATTGTCTATTAATCACCCCCAAGGCGCATTTTACTCCGGTGTCGGGACGTTATTGTTAACCTCTGCTAAAAAAATATTAAAATCGTTCATCGTAAAGCGTTTGAGTGTCAATATCAAGAGAATTTTTCAACATCCTTGGGGGAAAATTCATCAACAAGTGTTTAGATATTGTGAAGTGACTCGTTTAATCGTTTCTCATGACGTTCCAATGATTATTTACAAGTTTAAGTAAAAAGTGTGTGATATTTAGTGAATTTTTGGAGCATTTGAGTGTTTCGTGGGCAGGAGGTTATCCACTGCGGGGCGTTTCCTTCAGGCAGGAATAGAGGAGAAATGTCGAAGAACAAGTTGAATCTGACATTGCCACCAGGCTCGATAGAACCGGTGCCAGCAGTATCACCTTCACCTCCAGTACCACCTCTTCCAACTTATGCTGAACCCCCTGTTATACCTGAGTAATTTTTTTCAATGGAATATCTTCAGCTAAATATCGCATGAAAAAATTCCATCATCACAATTCTACTGGAATTATCTTTGCTTTTATATTCATGAGTTATTCTCGTGAGATTTTTTCTACAAAAATTATTGGGCTCGAGTTTTTCAAGATCTTTCGTCTCTATTTTCTATTTCTCATTATAAAATTTGAGAAGAGAACTTCAAAAATTCTATGCTCGATAATTTCTACTTAAAAAATCGAGGAATAAGTTTTGCAGAAAAATCAAAATCTTTTCACTGCAAAATTACATAATTCTTGATAGGAAAAAGCAGAAAATTACTAGATTTTTCAATGGAATTGTAGAAAATATTATTGAATTTCTTCATACGAGATCACAAGTACTGAAGACAATAGTCTACTAAAATTATAAATTTCAGTGGGGTGATGGGGAAGATGAGTATAGACGCTATCCAAGAGCGTCTGGAAGAACTAGAAATGGATGAAGAGCAGAGGAAAAGATTGGAGAGTTTTCTAGGGCAGAAGGAAAAAGTCGGAGAACTATCTGACGAAGATTTTGAAAAGTTGGGGGAATTAGGGGCGGGTAATGGTGGTGTTGTGATGAAAGTTAGGCATAAAAAATATGGACTGATTATGGCTCGAAAGGTAATATGAAATTATCGAGTGCTGAAGCATTCTCATTCTCAACTAAATGATTCAAATTCCAGTTAATCCATCTTGAAGTGAAACCAGCAATTAAAAAGCAAATTATACGTGAGTTGAAGGTTCTTCATGAGTGTAATTTCGCTCATATAGTTGGATTTTATGGTGCATTTTATAGGTAAAAAATTCTCTTTACGAAATTCGATGAAATCATCAGGAGAGATTAATTGAAACTTTTTCATTTAGTGATGGAGAAATTAGTATATGCATGGAGTACATGGATGGGGGATCCTTGGATTTGATCTTGAAAAAAGCTGGGCGGATACCTGAACCAATACTAGGCACAATAACATCAGCCGTAAGTAATTCATGAATTTTTCTTTATCAAATTCATAACTATTACAATAACAATACGAATGAAAACCCTAGGATAAACAGATTAATATATTGGTTAATAATACGTCTCCCTCTCCATAACTCCTCCTGGATAATTTCGTACACACCATCTTCTCACTTCATCATAAGTCCATAAAAAAAGACCCAAGGGTAAACACGGCAGGAACCAGTAGGGATCCAGTGGCATTGCTTTGAGGACTTTCTCAGTCCCCGGTGTATAGAGCAAAATAGCTGTTAAAATGATTTCAAAGGCAAATGAAACATTGAGAAACCAGTTATTCATTCCCTGTTGAAATATCGAATTTCTTCTCGTCTTACACATGATGAGATCAATCATTTGCGTAGTAACAATTGATATAAAATACCCAGTTCTTGCTTCATTCAACAGATCCATCCGACTTTGATAAGTCCAATGTTGCCCATAAGAATCAACTAAATCAGTGATGGCTCTATTCTCCCACGATTGTCTCAGACCAAATAAATCAAGTGGTAAAAATCCGTGAAATCCAAGAATCATAAAGTAGTTTAAAAACCCTGCCAACGCCTGACACATCCCAATCTGCCCATAAGCAACAGAAATCAATCGTTTATTCACTAATTTATCATACTGAGGATTTCTGGGCGCCCTTTTCATAATATCCGACTCCGGTTTTTCATACGCCAAAGCGATCGCTGGCAACAGATCCGTCCCAATATCAATACACAGTACTAATTCAATAACAAAGGGCAATGGTATGGACAAAACAATACTACTCAACATTGGAATCATCTCCGGAACACTCGACGTCAAGGTATAAGCAATCGACTTCTTCAAATTATCAAAAATAAGTCGACCCTCTTCAATCCCAGTGACAATAGACGCAAAGTTATCGTCCATCAACACCATGTCAGCTGCATTTTTAGCTACATCAGATCCGGCTATTCCCATTGCCACTCCAATGTCAGCTTTTCTCAAAGCAGGTGAATCGTTCACCCCATCCCCAGTCACAGCAACAATTTCCCCGAGTCTCTGGCAACTCTCGACAATCAGAAGCTTCTGCTGCGGGGAAGTTCTCGCAAAGACAATCTCCTCGTAGTTTCGGATTATCTCGTCAAGCTGGTGATTAGGCATGTTCCTCAGCTCTCCTCCAGTGAGAACGATTGCCTTCTGCCCTCCTCTATCCGTCGCCTGGCTGAAGGATTTATCCATCAGCATCGATTGCTCATAATGCACTCCCTGTCCCTCTCCGATGATTCCAACGGCTTTGGCAATCGCCATTGCCGTCACCGGATGATCTCCTGTCACCATTATCACTTTGATGCCAGCAGAACGACATGTGTGCACTGCCTCTGGCACTGAAGGCCTCGGTGGGTCAATCAAGCTTATCAAACCCAGGAATCTGTACCCCTTCGTCGGGAAGTTGTAGTTCTTGGGAGAACTAGTGTCAAATTGATAGTTTGTCGGGTATTTACTCGCTGGCAGGAACAAATCACAATATGCTAGCACTCGTTCACCGAGAAACGCGAGTTCTGTGCAGGCACGACGTGACTCAACTATATCAACACTCGTCAATTCCCTCGTGTGTCCGTCCATCGCTAGAATCGTTGTGCAGAAATCTATTATAACTTCTGGTGCACCCTTCATTATCATGGTGTAACCGTCCACATCCTGGTGTATTGATATCTGATATTTATTCGTCGAGGTGAAGGGAATCTCAGCAACCTTTGGATAGCTCAGGCGAAACCTCTTAGTTTGATGAATGTGCTCACAAAATTTGAGGATTCCACTCTCAGACGCATCGCCAATCACCTCTCTCTCCTCGATTCTCGTGAATCCATCGGAATCTGTTCGGAATTCTGCACGCAAGCACAGTGTTGCTACCTTAATCATGACATTGAACGCTGGTTTGTCTAGTAATAAGTCTCTCTCAGCTCCCAGTGACCATAAGCCAGCTGGAAAATTGTGTCTGATGTTTCCAAACCACATGTTCGATACTGTCATTTTATTCTGGGTTAATGTGCCTGTCTTGTCAGAGCAGATAGTTGATGTCGATCCGAGTGTTTCGACAGCCTCTAGATTCCTCACTAGACAGTTTTTATTTGCCATTTTTTTCGCTGTCAGCGTTAGACTCGTTGTAACTGTCACCAGAAGCACCTCTGGTACATTCGCGATGACTATTCCTAGGAGATAAGTGAAGGCCTTCACTACATTAGCTTCGATCAGCAACGACAGCGCGAAGAATGAGAATCCACAGACGACTGCGATCCATGTTATCACGTGGACGAAGTGATTGATCTCCTTTGAGATTGGGGTTTCTGTCTTGGTGACTTTTGTTGTTAAGCCTGCAAGCCTTCCAATCATCGTTTTGTCCCCAGTTGCTATCACTATCCCAGTGCCTTCACCAGCGACAGCGTATGACGAGAAAAATGCGATGTTCTGGGACTCCAGGGGATTTCTGTCTGTTGGATAATCACTTCTTGCCACCGGCTCGCTCTCACCAGTTAGACTGGAATTTTCCACTCTCAAGCCTACACATCTGATTATTCGCAGGTCAGCTGGGATCTTGTCACCCAGTCTTATCTCGACTCTGTCGCCTATCGCAATGTCCTCGGTTGGGATTGTTTTTTTTTCACCTTCGCGAATCACAAGGGCATATGTCGGCACCATTTTTGTGAATGACTCCATCACTTTCGAGTTCTTGCTCTCTTGGATAAATGCGAATAGTCCGGAGATTATGCAGATTATTATGATGATTACTCCGAACCATTCGATTCCCTCTTCGTCGTCGTGACCCATTAATTGGCCGATGAAGTAGAGGATGAAGCAGAGGATTGCACATATCCATAGGAGCGAGGCGAAACCTGCGAACATGCATTTCAGGAGTTTTACGTACTCGGGGGTTTGCTTGGGGGGACTCAGGCAGTTTCTTGATGACTCGAGACGTATTGCTGCCTCGGCGTGGGTTAAACCTAGCACTGGATCTGTTCCTAGCTTTGCGCAGAGCTTGTCCAGGGGGATTATGTGGTCGTCCGTTGTGAATTCTTGGTGGAGCTCGGTGATCTCGTCGTCTGTTGACTTTTTTTTATTTGGCGGGGGAACTTGGAGGGATTTTCCTCGCGATGTCGATGGGTTTTCAGACATTCTCTCAGAGGGATTCGTAGTTTTTTTTTTTTCAACAATTGTGTTGGAGTGATTTTAGATTTTTTGGAGGACACTCTTGGAATAGGACCTCATGGTAACGTTGGTGAGGGGGAAACAACAGAAGGGAGGGACAGGTTCAGGCTGGTGGCGTTTGAATTCTCTTTATTTTTCTTTTGTTTCGGGGATTGTTTTTCTATTCTAATTTTTGAAAATTCGGGTACCTGTGGAGAGTCATCAGAGGGGTCAAGGGAATTTGTGTAGGGAAAAATTGCAATTCGAGTGGAATTTTTCTTGTGAAGTTTTTCTTTGGTTTTGATGAAAAATCAGCAACTTTCTTGGTTTTTCTTTCATATAAATGTTTACAATAAACAATAGATTTTGATCTTTTTTCCAGCTCCTTCTGTTGAAATTCTTTCTATAAAAATTACTTGACTGAAATTTTCTAAGATTTTTGGGCTTGAATTTTATGGTAGGAAGAAGAAAGGATAAAAATGGAGGGAAACAAAACTGGAAAATCATTGCTGAATCTGAATAGAATAAGTTGTATACAAGAATGAAAATCTATTAGTTAATTTCTATTTGACAGGTATTGAAAGGACTGAGTTATTTGAGAGATAAACATGCAATAATGCACAGAGACGTGAAGCCTAGTAATATACTCGTTAACAGTGCTGGTGAAATTAAAATATGTGACTTTGGAGTCTCTGGACAGTTGATTGACTCTATGGCAAATTCGTTCGTTGGTACTAGGAGTTATATGTCGGTAGGTACAGCAAACACAGTTAAAATATGGAAATTTCATGAAAAGTTGATCTGCAATGTACAGGAGAGTGACATTGAAGTCGATCCAGAGGGAAAAAAATTATCAAATATCACATTTCACTGGAAATTCAATGAAATTCCAAATTGTTGAACAGCAGAAATCAAAACGTGAATGCTCACTACCAAATTACGTAAAAACTTCAATGAATTAAAAATTTAAGGACATTTTTACATCAATTTTTCTGATTTCTATTAATTTTTATGCAATAATAGGACTGAAATCCACAGTTCCCATTGATTTTCCCCAAAGTTTTGAATTTTCAATGACGAAATTCCTTGAAATTTCCATAAAAATATAATGTGATAATAATTTGCGAGAAATGTAGAAGAAAAATTAGTCTCAGAATAAAATTTTTAACAGTGAAAAAAATAAAAGGTCGATTATGATTTTGAAGTGTTGAAATTCTGTTATTATTTTACAGCCAGAGAGATTACAGGGCACCCATTACTCAGTACAGAGTGACATTTGGTCACTTGGGCTGTCCCTCGTTGAGATGGCCATCGGTATGTATCCGATTCCACCTCCAGACACGAGGACCCTCGTATCGATATTCGGACCGCAAGTCGCACCACCTCCAGCCGATAATACCTCGAACAATGTCTCAACACCAACGAGTCAGTCACCTTCGCATAGTATGATTTAACGAAAATTGAGATTACAATGAGAGAAAAAAAACTATTTTCTCAAATAAGTCTTGTTTGACTAAAAAAATCGCAAGTTTAAAATGACGAAAACAGCAAGTCTATAGTTGTGAGCGCTTGAAGACTATCTGGGGTTGAAAATTTTGGTCGCAAAAATAGATTTGGGTGCTCCAAAAAATTTTTATTCTCTGCGCAGGCAAGAAATGTCATTTCTAACACCACTTATTTGTTATTTGATACCCCCGCACGTATTATTTTATTTAAGAAATGAGTTCTTAAATAAAATAACAATGATGGCATGACGGCATTCTTGTCACTTGAATAAAATATTTCTTGGGAGAAGAATTAATTCTTTTAAGAGTATATTCCTCCAGAGCAGTCATTTCCATGTTGTCTATCTCCAAATATTACAATTATGTTGAATTATTAGATAATTATGCAACATAATGAGCTTGAATGATCACCCTTCATTATTTTTCAATTTTTTTAAATTTGATATTTTCTTACGTAAAATAATTTCTAAATGTAAGGAATTGTCTGTAGAATTCGTTCAGTGCCATATGCAGCATAATCATTCCATAATTCAACATAATTGTAATATTTTGAGATGGGAATTACTTCTTTCAAAAAAATAATTTCTTCACAATTTCTTTTTCAGTAATTTTAACTTGCGATTTTTTTAAAACAAGACTTATTTAAGAACTGTTCGTTTTTCTCTCAGTGTAGTGAAATTCAGGGGATACTGAGATGATAAAATGTGTCGAATGATTTAACAGATACCAGTAGTCCACGACCTATGGCAATTTTTGAACTGTTGGATTACATTGTCAATGAACCACCGCCTAAACTTCCACCTGGAATTTTTACCGATTCATTCATGGATTTTGTGGATCGGTGCTTGAAGAAGAATCCGGCTGAGCGCGCTGATTTGAAGACTCTGATGGTATTTATTTTCTTAATATTAAATTTTTATTAAATTCTTATTTGTATTGAATTTTTATTTATTATTCTTAAATTTTGTTGATTGACGGGATCATCACAAGTGTCCTCACGTCGCAATTCTCAAGAGAATATGCATAAATACAAATAAATTAGGTCTGAAAATCTTCATTTTTTAGCTTTTTGAAATGTTTTCTCGAAATTTCTACAGGTAAAAAATCTGAAACATTGTTCAAAATTGAAGTACACAGTGTATCATTGAAGTATGGTTTTTTTCATAATCCTTTCTCACTATATTCTAAATAAATGATTCGAAAAATCTGAAGAAAAATTCTGGTTCAATGATTTATGATATAGTTAAATATCACTAATTTTTCTAATTTTTCAACTCAGCCAATTTTAAGAGAAAAATTCCAAAAACTATTTTTTTTTCATAAGAGCTCATTTAATCATGTTTTTGTACATATAATATATGTGTGACCTAAAATTTGATTCAATCGATTGACTCAATTTTGTCACGAAGACACTTGAAGATTTTAATACTCTAAAGCCTCTTTCTGATCAATAAAATAATCAAAACCTACTTTTTAATTTTTTGATCTGTCCTTAAAAAAATTAAAAAATTTAATACTAAAAAATTCTCTTCATCGCTTTCAGAATCACGAATGGATAAAAAAAGCTGAAGCCGAAAACGTTGATATTGCCGGATGGGTCTGTAGAACAATGGACCTCCAACCAACTACCCCAACTCGTTTGGCAAACGTACAGTCCTGAATAAATGTTACTCTTACATACTTGACCACGTACATACGCGTTCAGTACTCCTAAATCAATTTCGTACATTTTGTTCTCCTTCTGTTAATTACCCCCGCACTACTAATTTTTTTTTCTTTTTTAATGCCAGTGGTGTGTCCCTTAGTTTTCATTAGCTGCAAATTGCCTACAACCGCGTCAATATACATTAATGAAAATAGCTGTGTTATGATAAAAATATCGAAATTATGATATTATTCATTAAGTGTATGCATCACCACTGCGTTTAGAAATCATTTTATTTCCATTTTTAACTACTTGAGTTTGAGTATTTTTACGTTACCTTCATGAAAGTATGTAAGAAAAAAAATCATGTTATAGTTATAGTTTATTCTTAGTACCATTAATGTTTCATGAGCATTGTATTCTTCCTGTGATAAGATTAGACGAATATTGGGGAGTTAAATGTATTCTTTCATATATCTACACTCATGAATATATGAAAGAATGAGAATTATGGAATTAATTTTCAAGATATAACAATTCATGATCATGTACAGAATTGGTGCCTCGAAGCAAGAGTTTTTTTTTCTCATTTATTTTGGAGTGGGAATATGATGATGAGAGTAATGAAAGAATATATTCAATAGTTAGATGATAATTAAAAATTGTTCATTCTAATACGCTTTCACTAGAGTTTAATGTTCATGGATTTTCTTTCTTCCTTTTATTATATAGATTCGACAGTGACTATATGATGTTTATAAATGGAAAGAGAGGAAAGTTGAAGTGAAAAATATAGAAATGTGAGGACAGAATGGTGAAATGGAAAACGTCGATCAAACTGGAGATTTTAAAAACGTGTTTATATGCTAATGATACGTGTCGCTTTTCGTGGTGAGCATAATTCATTTAGGAAAAATACCAATGGCTAATTTGGTGGATTTTCAATCGATTTGCCGAGATAATAGTTGGCTGTTTGGGCTTTGGGTTCGGCCATAAAATTTCTATGGACTATAAGTGCAGTATGTTGAAACAATATAGAAAAAAATACAGAAATAAATTCAACTTCACAACTGCTTCGTTGTTGATTGCAGAAAAAAAATCTTGAGGCATGTCTGGGAATTTTGTATTTTCAAATGAAACTTTTTCTTTTTTAATTTCTTGATTTAGAAAAAATCTCAATGCCTGTTTTAATACTTGGCTGTTTGGGCGTTGGATTTGGCTATAAAATTTCTATGGACTAAGTGCAGTATGTTGAAACAATATAGAGAAAAATACATAAACAAATTTTTGAATGGAATGATAATTAGGGATGTAGTACCAGCCCTGCAATTTCAAACGAAATAAATTCAATTTCACAACTGTTTCGTTGGTGAAAGTAGAGAAAAAATCTTTTGAGTCATGTCTGGAAATTTTGTATTTTCAAATGAAACTATTTCTTTTTCAATTTCTTTATGGTAATCACCCGAGCAATGTTTTATTGATTTAGAAAAAATCTCAATGCCTATTTTGATGAATTTTCAATCAATCTGTTGACATAATAGTTCGCTGTTTGGGTTTCGCTGTAAAATTTCTATAAACTAAAGTGCAGTATGTTGACACAGTATAGAGAAAAATACAGAAATAAATTTTCGAATGGAATGATAATGAGAGTGTGGTAGCAGCTCTCTAATTTCGAACGAAATATTTTTCATTCAACTTCACAAATATTTTGTTATTGGAAACAGAAAAAATCATTTTATTCATGTTGAGTAGTTTTGCATTTTCAAATGAAACTATTCCTTTTTCAATTTTCTTTTGGCAATCATCAGAAAAGTTGATTTAAATTACTTCTTGATGACTGTAATTATACCACACAGAGATCAAAACGTTCTGTTGAACGAAAGAGAATGAAGATAAAATTGTTAATCCTTTCCAAAAATCCCCAAATTCTTGTGACTGTTTTAATGAGTGATAAATGCCCTCAGCTGGTCGTGAAGTGCATCATTTCAACTCAAAAAGTCACACCCTTAACGTTGAATATAATAAATAAAAGAATAATCAACCCGAGAATGAAATAATGGCATTATTTATTCATATTCTGAAAATACAACAAACACGTTTATTTATGTACGCAGAACCACTCGACATTCACACGAATATAAATACTAAGTTAGAAATCCTAACACTCCATGGTATGAAGCCATTACAAAATTAAATAACTGATAATTATGAATCCTACAATACTCGGAGAAATAAATAAACAATGATAGAATACATTACATACACTAAAAATGAAAGCCCCTGATGCTAGAAGTACATACTAGGTATAAAAGTGGAAATTTATCAAATGTTCTTTACCAATCTGTCGTAGTGAGCTTCTCATTAAGTCACACTGCTATTGAATTCCATGAGCGAAGGGAGTGATATCACAGTGTAATTACAAAAATCATGGAGACGAGTTGAATACCTATCGAACTTTGATTGCAGTAATGAAACAATTGGATAGAACAATTGCGAAAGTTCTACTAGAATTTTGTTAGAAAAATCTGTTTATTTTTTGCCCCGATTCCATCAAAAATTATGTTTATGTTTTTTGTTAAATATTGATTGATAGATGATTTTTCAATATAACTTTTTCCATCGGAATTGTTCTCATGAAAATTCTTGGGCACGAAGTACCTGTTTTCTTTCTTAGATTTCATCATGAGATACAACTAAAAATACAGCTTGAAATAACTTGGACATTTATGCTCAAGCATTTTTGTAGAGAAATCAAAATCTATTTACTTTTTTCTGTCAAAGATCTATTGAATAGAATTTCAACAGTAATTCAATAGAATTTCTTAGGAAAAACATAAATTCTCTATTTTTCCTCCCAATTCTATCAAAAATGATGCATGTTTACGTTTTTTTACGATTTATGATGATATTTTCATAACGATTTTTAAATATAACTTTTTCCATCGGAATTGTTCTCGTAAAAGTTCTTGGGCATGAATTACCTGTTTTTTTTAGATTTCATCATGAGAAACAATTAAAAATACAATTTTTAAAAACTTGGAACATTTATGCCCAAGAGTTTTTACACAAAAATAAAAATCTATTGACTTTTTTAATCAATAGATAACACTTCGAAAAAATCTTCGATAGAATTTCTTACAGAAGGCAAAAATGTTCTACCAATTTTTTTCATTCATTTTTAATTAGCAGTCTATTTCACATTCGAAATTCAACCAATAGAAAATATCAGGACAGATTTCACACAATTTCCACAGGCCTCTCCATTCACAACACAATTCCCAAGCACAATCATAAAATTTCTCTCGCATCAGTAGTAATCATCCCCCGAGGCATGGACAAATCAATATTAACAATCTGGAGGAATGGAGATACTCCAGAAATTTGTGAGAGCTCAACTTTTGTTTTACCAACGATTATCTTGAGCATAGTGTGGGTTTTTCTGTGTTTAGTCGTTGATATGGCTGCCTCAATGGTACTGTTAGAAATTGAACATCTTGATAGATCCAACGACACGAGATTTGGGGCCATTTTTATGAGTTTGACTACACCCGCGTCTTGAATAAGTTGACAGCCCCAGCATGTCAAGATCTTTAGACTTTGTAAATTGCCCAAAGGCTGGTCAGTCACTTGTGTCAACCAACTTATCACGAGACTTTCCAATCTTGGCAACGATGACAAGCTCCCAATGGCCTTGTTTGTGATGGCTTCACATCCAGTGATGTCCAGATGATTCAATTTTTTACAACTACCAGAGAGATTGATGAGGAATTCATCGGTCACCACGATATTGTGACAGAGATTCAAGTGCTCCAAATTGGAGAGGTTTGTCAAATGATTCATGGAACTGGCCGAGAATGTTGGGTAATTCCCACTCAATTCCAAATGCGTTAATGTCTCGATCTTGCCGATTGTTTTTAATGAGCTGTCTGTCAGACAGACACATGTGTTCAATGTTAATTTTTTTAGAGATGGGAATTTCTGGAGGGCCTGCAAAATAAAGAGAATTGTTTTTTAGAGTTTGGAATCATGTGTTTACTCGCGTATGAAAAAATTCAATGAGGAATTTTATTAGAGTTGCTTTGAAATTGTGTTGAAAATTTTGAGGCTTTTAGAAAGTAACAAAAAACCAATGGATTTTTATTTTTCTACTGATTTTTTGTATATTCTTAACCATATTTAGGGTAACTGAATATATTTTATTATTGAATGCTTTTTGGTTGAAATTTTTTATCTTCAAATCCAATAAACAGGCGTTAACACATTCAAAAAAATTGTTCATTTGAATGAAATAAAAAACGATTTGAAATTTTTGACTTGTTTCAGAAGGAAGGATTTCATTATATCAAGTAAACAATTTGCTAATTGCAAATAAAATTTGGATTGAATTCAAGAGAACAATTTATTGATTCTAAATAAATCATTTGTTGAAGTCAAATGAACAATTTAAAGGTATTCATCTGAATTTTGCTGATTTTTTATTAGATATCGTGGAATAATTGAACTGAAAATGACAGTTTCTATTGATTGTTCCATAAAATCTTTTATTTTGCTTCCAAATGGAGGCTTTGTAATCGCTCAATTTTAAGTTTCTAATTTTTTGCATTTGCTCTCGTTCACTTGCTCGAGGAGCGCGGCGCCGCCTGTTTTCGTTCTGCATGACCGATGAAGGCTGGCTGCCGAGCGCGAGTGATTGAGGGTTAAACTAACTAAATATAGTCTAAAAATCCCGAATTTTCCATTTTTTTTTTTTTTTTTTTCATTTTTTTCGAAATTTTCGTAAAAGGGATCAATCGAAGGTCATGAATTTTTTCCTGAATATATACTTGAATAAGCTCTATTCAATGGCACCAATTGAAATTCAATGTTTCATACGGATGACATTTTTCCAAAAATCCATTTTGCAACGATCACTCAAAAAATTGCCATCAAAATGGAATTCGTCATGACTCAAAAAATTGATAACAATACCCACTTGATTCTGTCAGAGTATAATGGGGGTCGCACAATTTGCACATTGTTTATGCGATTTGAAAGAGAAAATCAGGTTTTTCATGATTACTGAAAGAATCATCAGTAATATCAATTAAATCAGGGCTTGAAAACTATATTTCAATGCCTTCTTAATCAAGTTGAAAAACGGTGAGAACAGCATCATTGTTTATCAAGTTACCTAATACTGTCATGGGCTTTTTATATAAAAAAAATCTCTATCTCTATTAAATTCAGGTACCAGGTACTCAGGTCTATTATGTTGAATACTTATTCGTATTGATTCATAGTTCCGACTAACTTCTGACAGAACGTGGGTTACACTCTGGCTAAATCCTGAATAAACCCTGATTAAATCCCGGCTATACACTGATTAAACCTTGATTGAACTTTGATTAAACCCGGACTGAAAACGAATCCGAGTCTTGAGAGGGTCTGAATGTAGAATTATTCGACAGAACGAAATAATCCACAAAATTTTGATGACATTTCAATTGAGGATAGTACTATGACATGAAAAAATAAATGAAGAGAATAGTGAAATAAAAATTTAATAAAAGAGAATTCATTCGAACGCAAATTGCTAATTTATTAGCAGCAATAACTATATTCATTCAAAAAAAAATGCAATTAAGGAAAAACAGAAGCAAAAACATGGAAAACTCATATTTAAGAATTCGTATCAATAAATTAGCAATATGTTACCAAATGGTCGTCACATTGCACACCACTTTCCGTAATGTAATTCGAACTTTTCTGAAATTACCATCAACTCAATTTCCTCATACGTCTCCCATACTATTTAAATATACTTACAGCATCAAAATAAGTAGACAGTACAGAGGTGCAAAGAATCAAGTGAATCTCCTCAACAGTGTCAGTTGGCAACTGCCCAAGACATTTTCCGATAACATGCTCATCCTCAATTTCAACCTTGACTAATTTCTTATTAACCATGAACAGTTGTGACAGGTAATTCTCACATGGCCCTGTCAGAGACTTCATCACGAACTTGGTGATATTCTGGCAGTTTGTCATCAACGAAGCAATTCCAGATGGCGATAGCTCCAGAGCTTTCACATTGATGCATTGCAAATTGGGGCAGAATTTTCCTACGATTGTTAATGTACTCGAGCCCAAGAGGTGGGGATATTTGGACAGATCCAAGTGTGTCAGGAATTGTCCACATTTTATGAGAACTTTTCTCAGAGTACTTGTGTCGATGTTTTGAAGACGAATTTTTGGGGAGAGGCCCCAGTTGCCCCTCACCAGGTCCAGTCGCTTGACGGACCTCCAGGACTCTTGGGAGAGTGCCTGCCAGCGTTTGCAGACTCTCTCCATTCTTATTCTGTCGGCAATCGGAAGGTACAGGAATATTTCTATCAAACAGTCGTCGTTGAGCACTTGAATAGGCGAATCGTCTTGTGGTATCTGCTGCACAGAGACTTGTTCCTCATTTTTATTTTGCTTCTCCTTCAGTGAGGAGAATCTCTTCTGATTCTCGATGCTATCTGGCTGATGCCACGAGTCCGCTGAGGAGACACGCAGAATTCTACAGTGCAATTGCAACTCCATTCTCTGAGCAGCTTTTCGGGCTTTTATTCCACCTTCGACAGCATTGAATGTCACGAAGGCAAAATTACTCTTTCCTTGATTTCTTTTTATGTAACAACTGTCCACTTTTCCGTATTCGGAGAATAATTTTTGGAGGTCTTTATTCGTCGTCTGGAAAGAATAAGTTTTTTTTTAGTGAATACGAGGAAATTAATTTTTCTGGAGGATTTATTGTACTGGATTTTTTTGGATAAAGATTGTTGATGTTGAGTCCATAAATTTTTTTGTTTTTCGTCACAAAATTCATGGTGAAATTGGTAGAAATTCAGGGGCTGAAATTCTTATAGAAAAAAGTCAATAGATGTTGAATTTCCTATAGAATTTATTCGATAGCAGTTGTTTTCGTTTTTTATAAGAAAATAGCACTGGAAAATTGCATAATTTCCGAAAGTATTCTAATCGAATTTTGATAAAATTTCAAATAATTGAAATTGTCAATTAATTTTTCTACTACCTACACCGTACAGATATATAATATTTGAAACTCACACGTTCAAACGAGTTCCCAATGAGCAATTTTCTAATAAAAACAGAAATTCTGTGGCACAAATTTTTTAAGGTTCTTCCATTGAATTATGTCTACTCTTCATTAACAAATCCAAGAAAAAAACATTAGAAAAATTTCCTGACAGGATCTCTAATTTAAAAAAGGCAGTGAATGATGGATTTTCTCTATGACTTGTTCTACTGTGATTTTTCCCATATTTATAACAAAATCTTGTAAAATTGCATAATCTCCTATAGAAATTTACAATAAATACCTAGAATTTCCAATTTGTAATTTTTTTCAGATCTGAAATTTAATTTTTCACACAGATTCGAAAAAAATTGGCATCAGAATGGAATTAGTCATGGCTTAAAAATTTAATACCAATACTCTCTTGATTCTATCCGAATATGATGGGGGTCGCACAACTCGTTGAATTAAAGGGTCTGAGGGTCTGAATGTAGAATCATTTGACAGAACTAAATAATACGGAAAATTTTACTGACATTTCAATTGATGATAGTATTATAAAATGAAAAAATAGAAGAGGAGAATAGTGAAATAATTTCAAAAAGTCAACCCGTCCTGATATATAATACGAATACGTCAATGCTACTATATTTAAAACTCACACGTTCAGCCAAATTCCCAATGAACAATTTTCTAATAGGAACACCCTCCTCTGTAACTGGAGAGATTAGGGGCTCGGGAACATTCACTAACGCAAGATCCCCTGAAACTGTTGATCACGTTGGATTTTACATTAATTCGGCATGAGAAAATATATGAAAAATTCATTTCTATTCATTACCTTGTGTCAATTCTCTCAGTGCCCCCAGCAAATTGCAGTAGATCATGCCTGCCATTATGAAAAATTATCAAAATACTTTGGATTTATAACTAATGATGCATTGGAGTATTTGGAATTTTTGGCAGTTCCTTTGTGCTCAGGACTGAAACAACTTAGAGCAGTTTCCCTTCACACAAAGACCATCCCCATCTCTCTCTTCTCAAGTCTAGTATATATACTCGATCGACACTTTCCCTTTCTTTCGACTGCGCAGCCCGGTCCGGTGTCTCGTGAAATTCTGAATGTCCAAATTCAATGCGTTCGGGAACATTTTTTGACAACCACCAAGAAAGGTGGAACCTGTATTATCCGCTTCGAGTCGTGAGCCCGAGGGAGAATAATTCGGTCGACAGATGGCACTGCTGTGGCTATTTTGAGATTTCAGGGAGGGAAAAATAATTGAATTTCTCTGGTGTGACAGATGTTTGGCAGATTTTTGGTATTTAACCGTCAAAATTTGCGAAATTTTTGGTGAAATGGAACAGTTTCATTTTCAAGGATTAAAACGTAACATGAATGCTCATGATAAAATTCTGTTTATGATGGGCTTTGATGGTTTACGGGGCTGTATTTTTTCGGAGAGCTTTACTGATTTTGGGGAGTGTGAGGAGCAAGCTGTTAAGGATACAGCTTGTGATGCATTATTTCCCGGGGAATTGCAGTCGTTGGATGCTACGCATGACAAGAAATTATATGTTTCTACTTCTGAAAAAGTAAATATTCCATTTTCTGTGGACTTTTGAAAAAGTTGAGTGGGAGAACCTACTGCATTCGCAAAGGAATTCTATTACGTTTTAATCGAAAATTTTTCAATTTCCGGGGATAGGGAAGTTATTGTAATCACCTCGAAAATCAAAATTGTTTTTTTTTTTCGTTTTTGCGAGGTAGCAACGTTCACTACAAAATACTTAATGGAAAAAATCAAATTCATTTCCGCTTGAATTTTTTAATGACAGATGATAAAAAATTTATGCTGAATACGCGAAAATTTATACTTGGGATTTCCACAAAAAATATTGCAATGCAATCGATCTATCCCGAAATTTAGTAAAAATTAATATATGATGATCAAATTTTATTCTACGTTAAACAGATTTTATCCTGATAAAAATAAAAATTACCGTGCCGGTAGAGTAAAAATTACTCTACCGCTAGGATAAAATTTACCAACTGTTCTAGAATTTTCGTTGTTATCTGCATAAAAATTATTAGACTAAAAGAGTAAAATTGATTATGCGTCAGGATAAAATTTACCTAACGTAGAATAAAATTTGCTCATTGTATATTAATTTTTATTAAATTTCGGGATAGAAATAAGAAAACAATGACTCACGATACACTTTTATAGAACAGTTGGATAATTTTTATCAAAAATTCCTCTCTGTGTATGATCATCATGAATTCCTCAAGTTCCATAATATTTCAGCTGTGCCACCGCTCGAAAATTCCTCGCCTCATGAAATCAAATACCGGAAAAAAAGCGAGTGATCGATTATTCCCCTATCGAGACCCAGAGTCTATGATTAAAATTTCCGAAAACAGGAATGAGAGGCTATCGATGAAAAGATCAAAGTTGCCTATCCGAGAGATTTATTCCAACGGATTCGTGTCACGCGTGAATTCAATTAATATCGATGGAAAACGCGATTCACTGGACCCTCGAGTTTCATCTAGACAAAACGTCCCTGTAGAGAAGTTTTCTCCGATAATTTTGAACTCAAAAACTCCGGAAGACTCAATACCTCCGGAGAAATCGAAAATTGATGAAGTGCGCAGATTCACGAGAGATGCAAGGAAATTCGAAAGAGCGCAAGAAACGGGAGTCAAAATTGGCCAGAAAATATCAAGGCTACTTGAGCACATAAAGAAGAAGCAGACTGCCCCCGATTTAGCGAATAATTCAGGCAGTGCAATGTCAATAATGAAGAGAGCTCTGCGTCTAGATTTAACAACGAAAACTATTCCTCAAGCTCAGAGAAATATTTTTCCCCAATTCTACATAGGCAGTACTCCTAGCGAGTTCAAACTATTTCGTTGCGGTGATGAATGGAATCATTTATAAATTTTATCATGTTCACCAAGCAAAAATTCTTATTTTGAGATTTTAAAGATCTTAGATTAGATAGAGGTTTTCAGGTCTTAATTTGAGGCTGGAAAATCTCTGTTTGATTCTCCTGAAAGTTTCAAGTGTACGGAGAGAAATTATCTGGAAAAATTCCAGTATTAGCACGGGAAAAGGGGCGCAAAGTGATGGCCAGGGAAAAATTGGAATGGGAATTTATAGGTTGGCACGTGAATTTTTTTCATATTTATATGAAATTTCATCAGCAATCTCTAGAAATTTAATCTTAGCAGCACTAAAATTTCTCATAATCAGCGGATTGTAATTTTTTTCAGTACTAAAAGCGTATATTGATATTTTTTTTATTTGAAAGTCTCAAATTAAGATTTTCAGAAGGCTAAAATGGAGATTTTCAAGTCTCAAATTGAAATGTTCAAGTCTAAAATTGAAATTTTCAATTTTTAAATTAAGATTTTCAAGTCTTAAATTGAGACTTACGAAAATTTCAAATTGAGAGTTTCAGAACTCGAATTAATATTTTGAAAGTCTCAATTTGAGACTTCTACAATTCGCAATTTCGTTTTTTATCGATGTTGATAAGCAAATAACACCCGAAGTGGAATATAGTCAATGAAAATGCGGACAGAAGGGTTGGGGAATATAAAAAAATGAGTAGGGGGATGAAATCGCCGGATGGTTCACCTCAAAGGAAGACCCCGAATGATACCAATTATGTCATCAACGTTGTAACCCCTCTGTCACGGTTTCTGTCACCAAATCGTATTCCGCCCGCATGTCAGAAAAGTTTTACCCTCCGTTCAAAACAACCATACGTGTATACACGTCCCACATAAGTTGTATCCCTTCAGACTTCATAGAAGACCAGTAAATCTATTTGCAGACAGGAATAAAAATGTCAGCAATAAAAGAGTAGAATAAAATCAGGAGAAATGTCAATATCTGTTGGATTGTTCACTACCTTTAGATGAGTTATTTCTCATTACGAGAGAATAATAAGGTTCGGGAACCAAATGAATTATTGATTGAGAATCCAGATCAATTGATTATTTTGGAAAAGCGCCGCCGCGGCCGCGACGTTGATCCTCTTTCGTTATGCTTTTTATAAAATAATTTGAGCTATTGATTTTAATGAACTTTCGAGAAAACCGTACTAAACGCAACATTAAGATAACTTCCCCCTTCGGGTCGGAAAGTTGAAAATTAAATAATTCTATTTTCGATTTGGACAATAATGATTGACTCAGCATCCGAACTATCGAGTTATTGAGTATACAGAATGTTCATATGTTGAATGAGAACTTAAGTAACTTGAGAGTTTGTATCTTCGTGATATTAAAAAATGCTGAATTGCAGTAAATTTTCGTATGTAATGCCAGGAGAGCTTCAAAATTATCAGCTATTTTCCGAAAGATTCGTTTGTATCTAGGAAACCTTGAGGAAAATACCTGATTAGTTTTGAAGCTCGAGTGGTATACAGAAGAGGATTTTTCCATCCAAATTTCGGCTTAGAGAATTGCACTATGAGAAAAAATCCATCTGTTGGTGATTCTACTGGAGGTTGTTCTCATTCGAGTTACGAGTTCCATTTTTATACAAAATATTCGACATCGATTCTCTTTCGATTTCGATTTGAATCCCATTCCAGATTCTCGTTCATTCTTCTTTACATATGCGGACATGAACATGTCAAGATTTTTCGGTGTATCATAGAGTGTCGAAAGTGCACTTGTCGTTCCTATCTTCGGATGAACGACACCAGTGTGGTATCGCAAGGTCTTGACGGTTCTGAATACAATCAGGTTCCTATTCGGAAATATCTGAGGCTTGGTGCACATAGCAGAAGTGCTACGCAGTGCTAGCAAACTCACCGTGACATCTACCTGTCCAGATTAGTCGATGTAGCATAGATCAAAAGATATAGTTAACCTGAAAAAAATAGAAGAAGAGAATAGCGAAATAAAAGTTGAAAAAAGAGAATCCATTCGGAAGCAAATTGCTACTTTATTAGCAACAATATACTCATTTATAAAAAAGTACAATTATACACTTTTTTAAAATGAAATTTGCGTGATATATTGATCGACATTATCCATTTGATTATTGCTTCTCAAAAAAAAATCCAAGACCACACTATGTGCCACACTTTCAACACTATGCCAGGAATAAAAGAGGAAAAAGTATCGAAAAAGGGATAATCAAATAACTAGCACGCACACGGTATAAATTATCAATCAGTCCACGATTGTGCAACCCCAAGCGGAGATCGACGCCTCCATGGTGATGTTAAGGGGGTTGTTACATACTGGGGATGTCTCAGAGCGTTTCCTCATGGGTCCACACCTCCTACACTGACCCCAGTGATCTTTCCCCTGTCTGTTTTCTCTTCCTCTCTTCTGTCTCCTTGTGCGTGGGCGTGCGTTGGATGAACCACATTATCCGACACGTGCGGGAGGCAATACATAGTCGAGGCCTTTGACTCTCGCAAATCCTTCTGCATGCGAAAACACACGTGTTGTTTATTTTTCGTTCGTTATGGGTCTTGCTGCATTGAAAATAATTCGTCGTTAATGGATTTTATGAATTTTTACATTTCTGCTGTGGATTTTGCAAAATCAATTGCGGTTTTGCATTTGATTTTTTATTGCTGAGAAGGTTTTATTATCTTGAAGAATGATGGACGATTAATAAGTATTTTGTTCCCGAAAAATCTTTGTTTTATGCGAAATAAGGGATAGTAGTTTTTCGTTTCGGCTGTCTAATAATCACAGACACGAAATGAATCCTTAAATGAAATAATAATAATGATATGACAGCTATTTTCTAACTTAGGGATAAAATAGTTGTCGATAAATTTTCCTCTATATGAGATATTTTCTCTTAAGCCAAATATAATACACGTAAATGGGCATACGTAGAAGAATACACCACAAATAAGTCGAAAGTTGTCTCTTTTATGTATTCAAAAGGTTTTTTAAAAGTTGTTCATTTCATGATTTTATGAGACTTCTCCGATTGCAAGTGATTTCAATTGAAATCACTCGAAATCGATGAAATCCCAGGATTTCACGTAATTTCAATTGATTTCATACGATTTGAGTCGTGACCGA